CTAACAAGTTTCTGTGGCCCTATTCTGTGGCCCTCATTAACAATTATGTGTCCCTGAGTAATGCTTCTCTGTCCCTAAGTAACGTTTCTCTGTCCCCAAGTAACGTTTCTGTGGCCCTAACTCTCTCCCTAATACAGAGCGGTCTGCCTCTCTTGAATGACTGGAGGCAAATGAAGAATTCTAAAATGGCCGCTATTTATAGCTCGACCATTACACAGTGCTGGCTGGCTGCTGATTGGCTAATGCGATCACATGTCATTAAGGAATGCATTATGGGTCAGCGCGCCTTGTCTGTGCGCCTTCCCAGACATCCCCGCTCCGTCGCCGCACATGTCCGCCGCCATTTTAGGAAAAATTTCGATTCGCGCGTCCGAAGTAGGCTATTTTTCGGATTCGGCGCAAATTCCAAAATTTTCCAATATTCGACTCGAATTCCACTTCGCCTACTTCGATTCGCTCATCTCTAATTATAAACACTATGCACCTCTCCTTTGCCTGTATATGGTAGAGATGTTCAACTGGGTCCTACAGGGCAATACATTTCCAGATGAAATGGCACTCTCGCGTCACTTACGGTTCTGGCCCCAGACGTCACTTCCGGATGCCACACGGCCTTGCCCTCTGAGGAACTGGAAGTGACTCAAGAACACCATTGTTTGGGATCTGGCGGTGGAGAGAGCACTGCTTGCAACCCACCATATCACACTATTATGCATTATCTACAGGCGTGCTTTTTTCAGTTATTCTGTGAGTGGCTGTCTGCATTTATTTAATAAAAGGTGTTATTTGTACTTCACCTTTGGAGTTTTTAAATTTTTACTCTTTCATGCCCATTGTTCTTGGAAAGAGGAGCAAGGAGAATTGTGGATATACTGATATAGGCATACTTCCTTTTTACTTGGAGTTTTTCAAAGTGATATATGCCAATCATGAGAGTGGGAGGCATGGAAATTTGGTGAGTGTACACCCGAATGGGGAACACTTTTTTCTTGAACATGTGGTGATTCTGGTTTTGGGAAACAAATAGAAGATTCTCACGTTGGAATGAATTTATGGACTTTCATTAATTAGTCACCTATTAATTTGTTTATTAACAGCACCACTGAATCACTTAGGGTTCATTTGTTGTTTCTAGGATTTATTTCACTTAAGGTGGCAGCAGTTTTTATTTAGGTATATTGTATTATATTTATTTCATTTCGTACAATTTTCACGCATCTATCACAAAAGTTTTTTTCATATATATTACCTACTCTATCCAAAACGTAAGAATATTTTGGCTTTGCTTACAGTTAATTGGTTAACACATTACTACATTATACAATGTTGATTTACAAAGTGCAGTAATTCATAAAGAAACTGTCTTAATTATAAGAGAAATTAGATTTTAATATTTTAAAGTGGTTATAAAGCCAATACATATTTTTACCTTAATTAATTAGTAAAACATATCCCACTACTTATATCATCCCCTCACCTCTCTAAATAGTCCTATCTCAGTCCTTGCTGTGCCCATCTGTATCAGCACTGGTCTGTATTCCTCTGTTCACAGGACACAGAGGCAGCAGTGGGAGCCATTGGCTCCTGCTGCTGTCAATCAAACCCTGTGAGGAGTGAGCAGGGGCTGGCTGAGCTGTTGTGTGTTTCTATGGACATACACATCCTGACTCTGGAGCTAGCCAGCATGTCTGCATCTATAGCAAGTGGCTTACTATAGGTGCAGACACAGAAGAGGAGGAGTGATCAAATCCTGTGAGGAGGGAGCAGGGGGTGGGACTGGGCCATGCTATGTGTCTGTATGGACACACACAGCCCAGTTCAGGAGCGAACCAGCATGTCTTCCCCCATAGCAAGCAGTTTGCTATAGGGGCAGACACAGAAGGGGATGAGTGATCAAATCTTGTGAGGAGGGAGCAGGGGGGGTGTGGGCCAAGCCAGGCTATGTGTGTCTATGGACACACACAGCCCAGCTCAGGAGTGAACCAGCATGTATGGCCCTATAGCAAGCCACTTGCTATAGGGACAGACACAGAAGGGGATGAGTGATCAAATCTTGTGAAGAGGGAGCAGGGGGGGGGGGGGACAAGCCAGGCTGTGTGTGTCTATGGATACACACAGCCCAGTTCAGGAGCGAACCAGCATGTCTGCCCCCATAGCAAGTGGCTTGCTATAGGGGCAGACACAGAAGAGGAGGAGTGGACTGCACCAGAAAAAGAGGTTTGTGGCACCTTTGTGCAATAACATTGCATATAGCAGGTATGTACTGTATATGATGTTTATTATTTTAATTAAAAAATGTACCTTTACAAATGAGATATCCCTTGTTTCTGGTTATGGTCTATCTATTTTATCTGTGTACTTTCCAGGACATTTATTGTCTGATTAAACAAGCATTAATGCTAAAAAAAAAAAAAACTTTTTTAGCAGCATTAGGTAAAAACGTTAAATATACAGTTACAGGGTCTGCCAAGGAAATGGGGAGTGAGATGATGTACTGTTTGTATCAGCAAATTGTCACTTTGTAGGATACTGCAATTTAGGGTCTGATACCAGAGAGTGGAGATTATTGCTCTGGTCACATGTTAAATGTACTGCTGAGAACACTGTAACAGCTATTATAAGGTTCCCTCTGTGTTACCAGTGGCTTGATAGATCAAATTGATCTCACTTTGTTTTCTACTAGCAATGGTCTCCAACTCTGGGATACTGCATCTTTCAGGACGAAACGATACACTATTATCTGTCACAGCAGGTAGAGCTGATGGTTTTCAAACTGCAAAATTATCTTTAAAATGGAGGTTATACAATCGGGTTAATTTAACCAGAAATAAAAAAAAGCATTTTCTTAAGTGTGTTATTTTTTTTTAATTTATTTTGTATTTATTAAATTTGATTTAGAAAAAAATCCAGAACATTAAGGATAATTGTGTAAAATTTAATCTCATTTTGATTTCAAACAAAATAATAAAATTCTGTTAACACAGACAAACAAACACGTAACTATAAAGGGCGCCTTTACTTAACCACTTAAATACAGGACACTTTCACACCCATCCTGCCCAGGCCAATTTTCACCTTTTAGCACTGTCACATTTTGAATGACAATTACTCAGTCATACAACACTGTACCCAAATGACAATATTATCATTTGTTTTCACATAAATAGAGCTTTCTTTTGATGGCATTTAATCACCATTGTTTTTGTTGTTATATACACAAAAAAATAACAACAAAATAAATAAAAAACACATTTTCTTTGTTTCTGTAATAAAAGTTTACCAATAAATATTCTTTCTTCATAAATTTAGGCCAAAATGTATTCTGCTACATTTCTTTTCTAAAAAATAACCCAAATAAGTGGTGTTTATATATCTATCCAAATTAATTGAAGCCCTAAGATGCCAGGGCAGTACAAATGCCCCCCACATTAGACACCCTAAGAGACATGGTGAGTTTTTGGAATTTGCAATTTTTTAATACAGTTTTTTGGAAAATGAAGAAAATATTTTTTTTGTTTTTCAGAGCAGTACAACATCATCATATGACTGGTGTGGTGATGATCATAGAAACTACCGTATTTTTCGCACCATAAGACGCACTTTTTTCCCCCCAAAAAAAGGGGGAAAATGTCAGTGCGTCTTATGGAGCGAATATGGAGCGGCCGGTCCGGTATTTCCACTGCCGCCGTGTCAGAATACCGGGCCGGCCGCTCAGCTCTACAGCGGAACCTTATAGAGATGACTGCTGACCTTTGGGGAGGGGAGGAGCGGGTACCTGAATTTGACAGGTACCCGCTCCCACTTCCGTGGAGTTGTTCTTTCATCTTACCCATTCCTCTATCCAGCGGTGCGGTCTTCCTGGCTTCTGTAGTGTGGCATGACAGCCGGGTGCCAAGTGCGCATGCGCAAGAAGCGGTGCTTTTTGTGAATGGTAAGGCGGCACCTGGGACACATGACAGATCCCAGAAGCCGCCGGACCAATCACAAAGCGCAAGTGCTTCTCGCTCATGTGCACTGGGCACCCGGCTGTCATGCCGAGCGCCATTACAGAAGGCGGGAAGACAGCGCGCGGCTGGATAGAGGAACAGGTAAGATGAAAGAACAAACTCCACGGAAGTGGGAGCGGGTATCTGTCAGATTCAGGTACCCGCTCCCCCCCCCTCCCCAAAGGTCAGCAGTCATCCCCTGTACTATCCACAGTCTCTGGTCATCCCTGTACTGTCCGCAGTCTCTGGTCATCCCTGTGCTGTCCGCAGTCTCTGGTCATCCCTGTGCTGTCCGCAGTCTCTGGTCATCCCTGTGCTGTCCGCAGTCTCTGGTCATCCCTGTGCTGTCCGCAGTCTCTGGTCATCCCTGTGCTGTCCGCAGTCTCTGGTCATCCCTGTGCTGTCCGCAGTCTCTGGTCCTCCCTGTTCTGTCCGCAGTCTCTGGTCATCCCTGTTCTGTCCGCAGTCTCTGGTCATCCCTGTTCTGTCCGCAGTCTCTGGTCATCTCCTGTACTGTGTCCGCAGTCTCTCTGGTCATCCCTGTACTATGTCCGCAGTCTCTGGTCATCCCTGTACTGTGTCCGCAGTCTCTGGTCACCTCCTGTACTGTGTCCGCAGTCTCTGGTCATCTCCTGTACTGTGTCCGCAGTCTCTGGTCATCTCCTGTACTGTGTCCGCATTCTCTGGTCATCTCCTGTACTATGTCTGCAGTCCATTAGTTCAGAATTTTTTTTTCCTGTTTTCTGCCTCTAAAACCTAGGTGCATCTTATGGTCAGGTGCGTCTTATGGAGCGAAAAATACGGTAAGTGGTGACAGTATTAAAAAAAAAAACATTTTTGCTTTTTTTGTCTTTTCTTGTTACATACTATGACTATACTGTAGTAGTGCAGTGTTATCATAGTTACACTGTACAACTCTGGGGAGGTGATAAATATTTTTTTAACACTATGATTGTTTATAAGAGTGATGATTATTGTTATAAGCAATCATTTTTATGTATGGCATCTATTCATAGCCATTACCGTATTTTTCACTCCATAAGACGCACTTTTTTCCCCCAAAAAAAGGGGGGAAATGTCAGTGCGTCTTATGGAGCGAATATGGAGTGGCCGGTCCGGTATTTCCACTGCCGCCGCGTCAGAATACCGGGCCGGCCGCTCAGCTCTACAGCGGGACCTTATAGAGATGACTGCTGACCTTTGGGGAGGGGGGGGGCGGATACCTGAATTTGACAGGTACCCGCTCCCACTTCCGTGGAGTTGTTCTTTCATCTTACCCGTTCCTCTATCCAGCGGCGCGGTTTTCCCGGCTTCTGTAGTGTGGGCATGACAGCCGGTTGCCAAGTGCGCATGCGCAAGAAGCGGTGCTTTTTGTGAATGGTAAGGCGGCACCTGGGACACATGACAGATCCCAGAAGCCGCTGGACCAATCACAAAGCGCAAGTGATTCTCGCTCATGCGCACTGGGCACCCGGCTGTCATGCCGAGCGCCATTACAGAAGGCGGGAAGACAGCGCGCGGCTGGATAGAGGAACAGGTAAGATGAAAGAACAACTCCGCGGAAGTGGGAGCGGGTATCTGTCAGATTCAGGTACCCGCTCCCCCCCCTCCCCAAAGGTCAGCAGTCATCCCCTGTACTATCCACAGTCTCTGGTCATCCCTGTACTGTCCGCAGTCTCTGGTCATCCCTGTGCTGTCCGCAGTCTCTGGTCATCCCTGTGCTGTCCGCAGTCTCTGGTCATCCCTGTGCTGTCCGCAGTCTCTGGTCATCCCTGTGCTGTCCGCAGTCTCTGGTCATCCCTGTTCTGTCCGCAGTCTCTGGTCATCCCTGTTCTGTCCGCAGTCTCTGGTCATCCCTGTTCTGTCCGCAGTCTCTGGTCATCTCCTGTACTGTGTCCGCAGTCTCTGGTCATCCCTGTACTATGTCCGCAGTCTCTGGTCATCCCTGTACTGTGTCCGCAGTCTCTGGTCACCTCCTGTACTGTGTCCGCAGTCTCTGGTCATCTCCTGTACTGTGTCCGCAGTCTCTGGTCATCTCCTGTACTGTGTCCGCATTCTCTGGTCATCTCCTGTACTATGTCTGCAGTCCATTAGTTCAGAATTTTTTTTCCTGTTTTCTGCCTCTAAAACCTAGGTGCATCTTATGGTCAGGTGCGTCTTATGGAGCGAAAAATACGGTAAGTGGTGACAGTATTAAAAAAAAAAACATTTTTGCTTTTTTTGTCTTTTCTTGTTACATACTATGACTATACTGTAGTAGTGCAGTGTTATCATAGTTACACTGTACAACTCTGGGGAGGTGATAAATATTTTTTTAACACTATGATTGTTTATAAGAGTGATGATTATTGTTATAAGCAATCATTTTTATGTATGGCATCTATTCATAGCCATTACCGTATTTTTCGCTCCATAAGACGCACTTTTTTCCCCCAAAAAAAGGGGGGAAAATGTCAGTGCGTCTTATGGAGCGAATATGGAGTGGCCGGTCCGGTATTTCCACTGCCGCCCGCGTCAGAATACCGGGCCGGCCGCTCAGCTCTACAGCGGGACCTTATAGAGATGACTGCTGACCTTTGGGGAGGGGGGGGGGCGGATACCTGAATTTGACAGGTACCCGCTCCCACTTCCGTGGAGTTGTTCTTTCATCTTACCCGTTCCTCTATCCAGCGGCGCGGTTTTCCCGGCTTCTGTAGTGTGGGCATGACAGCCGGTTGCCAAGTGCGCATGCGCAAGAAGCGGTGCTTTTTGTGAATGGTAAGGCGGCACCTGGGACACATGACAGATCCCAGAAGCCGCCGGACCAATCACAAAGCGCAAGTGATTCTCGCTCATGCGCACTGGGCACCCGGCTGTCATGCCAAGCGCCATTACAGAAGCCGGGAAGACAGCGCGCGGCTGGATAGAGGAACAGGTAAGATGAAAGAAGAACTCCGCGGAAGTGGGAGCGGGTATCTGTCAAATTCAGGTACCCGCTCCCCCCCTCCCCAAAGGTCAGCAGTCATCCCCTGTACTATCCACAGTCTCTGGTCATCCCTCTACTGTCCGCAGTCTCTGGTCATCCCTGTGCTGTCCGCAGTCTCTGGTCATCCGTGTACTGTGTCCGCAGTCTCTGGTCATCCCTGTACTGTGTCCACAGTCTCTGGTCATCCCTGTACTGTGTCCGCAGTCTCTGGTCATCCCTGTACTGTGTCCACAGTCTCTGGTCATCTCCTGTACTGTGTCCACAGTCTCTGGTCATCCCTGTACTGTGTCCGCAGTCTCTGGTCATCCCCTGTACTGTGTCCGCAGTCTCTGGTCATCTCCTGTACTGTGTCTGCAGTCTCTGGTCATCTCCTGTACTGTGTCCGCAGTCTCTGGTCATCTCCTGTACTGTGTCTGCAGTCTCTGGTCATCTCCTGTACTGTGTCCGCAGTCTCTGGTCATCTCCTGTACTATGTCTGCAGTCCATTAGTTCAGAATTTTTTTTTTCCTGTTTTCTGCCTCTAAAACCTAGGTGCGTCTTATGGTCAGGTGCGTCTTATGGAGCAAAAAATACGGTATGTACTATTGGGATAACTATGACTGACCACAGCTATCATATGTTACAGTACACTGTGATTGGCCCTGTCTGTACCATATGGTCACTGTGACCAATCAGAGATCACAAAATTTCACAATGAATGACTACACATGAAAGCCATTCATTGTGTACAACTGTCATGTGATTGCTGTGAATGATCTCAGCAATCACATGACACAGGCTCCAGTCCGGTATACTGATCTGTCACCCATTGTGTCCAGTGGACATAGGAGTGATTGTAGATATTGTTTACTTGGAATTTGCAAAAGTGTTTGACACAGTTCCCCACACATGGCTAATGCGTAAGGTAAAGTCTACAGGTTTAGGAAATTCAGCTTGCAAATGGATAGAAAACTGGATAAAGGACTATATTTAGAGACTAGTGGTTAATGATTCATACTCTGAATGGTCTAGGGTTATTAGTGGTGTACCCCAAGGTTCAGTGTTGGGACCCTTACTTTTATATTATTTTTTATTTATACATGATATAAAGTCTGGGATTAAAAGTCCCATTTCAGTGTTTTTTAGAGAACACCAAGTGACATAGCACCCTTACAGGATGTCCCCAACTTACAAGCCAACCTCAATGCTCTGTTTAATCAGGCAAGTATGTGGTAAATGAGGTTTATTGTTAATAAATATTAAGTTATGCACGTGTGGGCTAATACCATGCATGCATCATACATTTTAAAGAGAGTACACCTATGGAATTAACTAACTGAGAAGGATCTGGGTGTTTTGGTAAATCATAGACTTAATAATAACAAGCAATACTAAGCTGAAGTTTCCAAACCTAGCAAAATACTTTCTTGAAGGAGCCCGTACATGCTAGGGTAAGGGACCCCTGATTGGCTAGAAGCATGGCAGCTGCTAGTGCGGGGTTTCTCTTAAGGTCTTAGGTAGGTGGGCTAAGTGTGGGGGGTACTTTAGAACTTTAAGACTTTGGACTTCTGCTCCTGCATGAGAAGCTCCCACCCTCCCTCCCTAATAATAGCAAAACTACTCATTAAAAAAAAAAAAAAAATATATATATATATTTTGTGACAGCTTTATTGGCTTTACTGGTGGAATGTTACCTTGCCAGCTACAAAGATTTGGTTAAATAACCTCAGCGGTTCGTGTGAAGACAGTGCCTGTCCTGAACTGATGGTTGGGGACAGGTGTCTATGCTATGTTTGTAACGGGTGCCCACAAATTCACTGGCACGTTGAATTTGGAATCCTATATTTTATGTTGGAACATTTATTGAAGTTGTAATTATAAGTGATAAGCTGTGGCTTTGCCCTTCCAATTCACAAATGTTTCCATTTTTTTTTTTATTGTGAAGGTGCAAAGTTTGTTTGTTAAGAAGCATTGGCATAAAGCCACCTCCATTTCACACTCATATATATTAAAATAGCGATAGACCCCAGAGAGAGAGATAAATAGGGGTTGATTTACTAAAGACAAATAGGCTGCTCACCTTGCAAGGAAAGTTGCACTTTGTGAGGGAATTTTCTCCAAAGCTTACTGAATGTGGGGAAGTTAAAATATGCAAAGAAAACTCTAATCAAGTGTAAAGAAAATATTTAAAAAATACATTTTTTTTTTGCAAATGATTGGATGCTGGAAGTCAACAGAGCTTCACCTATTTCACTAAGCTATGGGGTATATTGCTTTGCAAAGTTCAAAATGGCTTGCAAAGCTAATAGCCTATTTGCCTTTAGTAAATCAACCCATTAATCTTACCTCTGTACAACTCATTTGTAAGACCTGGTCTGGAATATATAGTTCAGTTTGGGGCACTAGTTCACTAAAAGGATATCAGGGGATTGGAGAAAGTGGAGAGAAGGACATATGATAAGAGGCATGGAGGAGCTCAGCTATGAGGAAAAATTAGCTGAACTAAATGTATTTTCTCTTGAGAAGAGGGGAGGTCTGATCACCATATTAATTGTTCAAAGGTGTTTAGGGGTTCCAGAAGGGATTTATTTCCCTGTAGAAGCAAATTGGACCATGTTTTGTAAGTATTTTTTTACTTCTAAATCAACTGCACACATAAATTTCTATTTATGTAGGTTCTCTAATTTTTTCTTTTGGTTGAACTTATTGGACTTTTCTCAACCTCACTAATTATGTTACTACGTTTGATGGCCTAGGCCAGGGGTCTCTAAAACTTTTCAAACAAAGGGCCAGTATACTGTCCTTCAGACTTTAGGAGGCCGGATTAGGGCCAGTGAGGATAGAAAAATGTCCTGGCCCCAGCATCAGAGCCAGTTCACGCTACGTGAGTTTCAGTGTGCTTTATTTCTGCATTCATAGCACACGGAAAGTAGGTTATATGGTTGTCAATGCCATAGTTCACATCAGTGCTTGCAGTTCCAGTACATTCCAATTGTAGAAAAAAAAGTAGAAAATGCGGCATTTTTTCTGCACAGAACTGTACTGGAACACGATAAAATGCATCAAAAACGCAGCGGAATGCACATGTCTCTATTTGCATTGAAGGAAAAAGAGATGGGAAAAAATTAACTGGAATGCATAAAGGAATGCATCCAAAATGCACTGGAACACGGCAAAAAAAGCATGCAAAAAATGCATCTGGACTGCATTTCTACAGTGTGAACTGGCCCTTGGTAAGAATAAACATGGCACTCAGGGTTATTGCTCAATAGGAGGAGGAGGAGTGCCCCATCACTGGTATTAATGGGAATAATAGTACACCATCATTGGTTTCATGGGAAGAAGTACTGCCCCATTGTTGGTCTCAGTGGGAGGAAAAATAATAGTGTCCCAAGGGCCAAATAAAGGGGTAGCAAAGGGCCACATCCGGCCCTTGGACGCAGTTTGGAGACCCCTGGTCTAGGCACTTGGTCATTTGGGTTTCTAAAAGGGGGAGGATCAGAGTTTATGGTCGATTATCCCTTTAATTCTCTTCAACCTTACCCTACAAAAGACTATTGACATCAAGTTATGGGTCCTACTTATAGAGTCAATTTTACCATAGGTCAATTAACTTTCAAGTTAAAATCTTTTTCTAAAAACTTCATAGCAGTTTTTTGCTCTGAGAAAACGTGCTGTGACATACAGGCCTCACACTGCATTTAGTGAGCTTGCATAA